CAAGAAGACGTAGGCGTTGGTCTTTTGTGAGCTAAGACTTGAGGCAGCCTTGACAACATGTATTTGCTGATGCTGGAAATGTGCTTAGATGGAGATGCGTCATGTTCAGAGTGGTTTCACTACTGTTTCCAATTGTTGACTTCTGTTAATAAAAGGAGCCTCTGCACAGCTAGTCAGCAGCCTGCTTGAAGCATGCTTGCCAACTTGCTCCTGCACAGCTCACCTGCATCCAACCTCCCATCTCCTCCATTATTCCTACACCTCAGATTTCAAAATTTCTCACATTCATAATTCTAATAATTTCTAATTTAAAAGGCTTTCAGGTCCCCCAACCTTTATATCTTATAGAAAAGCAGCTCAAAAAATGTTGGGCTTTCCATAGATCATTATTTGGTTGACTTTCATAGAATCATAGTATTATTTAGTTGGGAGGAACCCCGAGAGTCGTCTGGTCCAACCCCTTGCAATGTAGGAATCTCAACTAAAGCGCCCATGACAAATGGTCATCCACCCCCTGCTTAAAAATCTCCAAGGAAGGAGAGTCCACCACCCTCCAAAAGAGTCCATTCCCCAGTTCAATAACTCTTACTGTCAGAAAATTCCTCCTGGTGTTTAGTTGGAATCTCCTTTCTTGTAACTTGAGGCCATTGGTACTGGTCCTACCATCCAGAGCCAGAGAAAACAAGCTTGCACCATCTGTTGGAAACAGGGGTGAAAAGCCAGCTGGCTTGGCCCCAGATGGAGCGTCTCTCCTCTCAGAAGAACGGTGTCACCCCCGTTGACGCGTGCTTCGTGTTGTTGTAGGCAAACTCGGCCATCGGTAAGTAGTCCACCCAAGTTGCAGGCTTTTGATTGGCGTAACATCGCAGGTACTGCTGCATGATGGCGTTGACCCTCTCCGCTTGGCCGTTGGTTTGCGGGTGTCTCGCCGACGCTAAGTTGATCTTGACATTCAGGATGCCCAGGAGCTTCTGCCAGAAACTGGAAATGAATTGGCGACCCCGGTCAGACAGGATGGACCGTGGTAAGCCGTGCACCCGGAACACGTGGTCTATGAACAGCTTGGCGGTCTGTTCCGCTGTTGCCACCTTCGCGCAAGGAATGAAGTGCGCCATCTTGGTGAACAGATCTACAACCACAAGCACCGCCGTCTTGCCCCGCGAACTGGGCAGATCAGTAACAAAGTCCAGCGCCACCCTTTCCCACGGCTGCAGTGGCGTCTCCAGCGGTTCCAGCAATCCCGCTGGCTTCTTGTGCACTGGCTTGGACCTCTGACAAGTGTCACACCTGGCGACGTAATCCGCGACCTCTCCCCGCATCTGGGGCCACCAAAAGTCTCTGGCTACTAAGTCCGCCGTCTTTTCTTTGCCGAAGTGACCCGCGCTGGGGCGTCGTGTAACTGCTGTAAAACCTTCGCGCGGAGATCGTCTCCCGGCACGTAGAGAGCACCTTGCGGGTCAGCAGGCCGTCGCGTATCTGGAATTCGCCGTCCTTTGCTGTCCCTCTTCGCACCTCCTCCATCTTGGATTGTGCGAACGGATCCGTCTGTAGCGCGCGTCGTACCGCGTCCAGGTCCACGGCGGCGGAAGCGCACGCCCACGCTTGCGGTGCGAAAATGTGCCTGGCTGCCACTGGTGCCGCTTCCTCGAGATACTGCGGTTTCCTGGAGAGCGCATCCGCTATGACGTTGTTGTCTCCCGGGATATACTCTATCCGGAAATCGAAATCCGCAAAGAACTCCGCCCATCTCATGTGCCTCTGGCTCTGGAGCTTCGCCGTGCGCCAATACTCTAGGTTCTTGTGGTCCGTGCGGACCTGCACGGTGTGCTTGGCTCCGATGAGGAAGTGCCGCCACGCCTTGAAAGCCGCGTGGATGGCCAACAACTCCCTGTCCCAGATGGTGTAGTTCTGTTCCGACTTGCTGAGCTTCCGGGAATAGAAAGCGCAGGGCCTCCAGTTCCCTTGCGGATCTTCCTGCAAGAGGACGGCCCCCACTGCTCTGTCAGATGCGTCAGTCTCAACCCGCATGGGCCTGCCGGGATTCACGTGTAGCAGCTGGTCTTCGGACGCGAAGAGACTCTTAAGTCTCCTGAAGGACTGCTCCGCCTGGTCCGTCCAGGTGAACTTTTTCTTCTTGGAACTGAGGGTGTCCGTGATAGCTGCCGTCTCTTTCGCGAAACCCCTGATGAACTTGCGGTAAAAGTTGGCGAAGCCGACGAACCTCTGGACCTCCTTCCGATTGCGCGGGCTATTCCAGTCCAACACCGCGCGGACTTTGGCGCTGTCCATGGCTAGTCCCTTGTCGGACAGCCGGTAGCCCAGGAAATCCACCTCCGTCACGTCGAACTGGCACTTCTCCAGCTTGGCGTAGAGTCTGTGCTCCCGTAGCCTCTGCAGGACCTCCTTTACGTCTCTCTCGTGAGTCTCCTGCGATTCTGAGAAGATCAGAATATCGTCGAGAAAGCATACGCACTTCTTGTAGAGGAGTCCTGCTAGCACGTGGTGCATGAATGCTTGGAAACAGTGGGAGCCATTTTGGAGACCAAACGGCATAACTCTGTATTCATAGGTGCCCAGCGGCGTGAACATGGCCGTCTTCCACTCGTCACCTTCCCTCATGCGTATTAGATTGTATGCTCCGCGTAGATCCAACTTGGTGAAGATCCTCCCCTTCCTCACCGTCGCGAGCAGGTCGTCAATCTTGGGCATGGGGAAAGCCTTGGGCTTTGTCATCGAGTTTATGGCCCTATAGTCCACAATGAGCCGTTTTTGGGGCGTGTCCTTCTTCTTCACGAAAAACACAGGACTGCCCCCCACTGCCTTGGATTCTCGGATGAATCCCCGCTTCAAATTGTGATCTATGAACTCCCTGAGTTCCTGCATCTCATCTTCAGACATGGAATACAGCTTCGCAGTCGGTAGCGTCGCCCCTGGTAAGAGGTCAATTGCACAGTCGTAGGGCCGGTGGGGTGGTAATTGGTCAGCTTCCTTCTCGCAGAAGACCTCCAAAAACCCCTTGTACTTGTGGGGCACCGCCTGCACCATGCCTAGATGCAACTGTTGCCCTTCCTCCTGGCCCTCCTCCTCCTGGCCGATCTGGATGCAATGTTGTGCGCAGTAGGACGAGCCAAAGGTGAGCTGCCGCTGGTACCACGCCAATGATGGGCTGTGTCTGTCCAGCCAACTCATGCCTAACACTATGGGCGTGTCTGACAGTTGGGTGACATTGAAACTGATGACCTCGCGATGATTCCCAATTTTCAGCAGCATGGGTGGCGTCTGTTGTACCACTTGCCCACCCAGCAACTTCCTGCCATCTACGGTGACCACGTTCAGAGGCAGCGTGGCTGGTAGTAGCGCTATGCGATGCTGCTTGATGAACTGCATCCCCACGAAGTCTGCGTTGCTCCCTGAGTCAATCGTAATGGGGACTTCCAGGGTGAGTCCATTAGGCAGCTGGAGAGTAGCAGTGAGCTGCACCACTGGCTTGGGTGGTAAGGGGTCTGTAGGCTGCAAAAGCGCTGGGGACTGCTTCACTGACTTGCCTGGCGGAGCCCCAGCATCTCTGCTTCCAGCCAGGCATTCTCGTTTCCCTGAAACTGTTCCCCTTGGAACGCTTCCCCTGTTACTGTTGCTAAGGCTGCAGTGTGCTTCTGGAGCCTCTGGGGACACTCTTTAGCCATGTGCCGTGCACTGTCACAGATGTAACACTTCCTGGTCCCTCTAGGAGGCTTCGCCTTGACTGCTCCGGACGCTGAGGCTCCGGCAGCTGTCTGAGCCTTTGCACCACCCAGCTCCATTGGTTCTTCCCCCTTTCAGCATAGGCGAGGGGTTTGTACGTCCCAGGTCCCTGGGAGGAAAAGGAGGCGCTCTAGCTGGTGGGCGGACGTGACGCCCCTCCTCACTGTGCCAAGGGCGTTCTTCGTGGCGCACCCCTATCGTGAGTGCCCTCTGCACGACGTCTGCTAGGGTTTGAGGTCTGTCTCCCCTAGCCAGCTCATCTTTTACTGAGCCATGAAGCCCCTCCCAGAACAAGTCCCTCACTGCCAGGGAGTCCTTTTCCCAGCCCAGCACATTCAGCAATGCAAAAAAGCGAGAATGGTACTGACGCACTGTAGCCTTGCCCTGCCGCAATCCATGCATCTCCTGGCGCGCCACATCAACGTCAACGGTAGATTGGAAGCAAGCGTCCATGGCTTTGATAAATTCGTCAGAGTCCCTGCGTGCAAGACCATCTTCGCGCCACAAATTGCGTAACCAGGTTCTAGCTTCCCCATGCAAATGGGACACAATAAAGCCTACTTTCTCCTCCTCATCTTTGAAGTCGTTTCGAAGCAAATGCAGCGCGTATACGACGTCTGCTCTGAAATTGGGATAATGCTTCAGGTTCCCATCGAAGTGGGCTACTAAATTGCCCCCTCCGTCCGAGTCCGATTCCCTCTGATCTGGACCCCGGGAACCCCTCTTTGCACGCCCGATCCCACCTGGCTTGCAGATCCTGGCATCGCGCTTCTGCGTCGGCAACCGTCTTCTGAGAGACCCGTACTGCAACGGAGAGTTCAGTGACTGCGTTTTGCAGGGTCGTTATCTGCTCCTCAGTAGTCATCTCTGCCAAACTTCGTGAGCTTTGCAAAAAAAATTTTGCGGTTTTGGAGAGGGGACTTACTGTCAGGGCTGCCTCAAGTCTCAGCTCACAAAAGACCAACGCCTATGTCTTCTTATATACAAAAGTGTTTATTGCAGTTCATTGTTTGCTTGACATCCTAGGCGCGCAGCCCTACGTCTGCTACGCTTAGACCGCTGAAGTCCCCTCTGAATCCGTCCCTCCCCTGCACCAATTTAAGAGGCTTGCGCTGCTCCACCTCTTTCTCTCTTTCCTTTTCCGCAGGGTCCTTCTGCCCGCTGGGGTTTCGCCCCTCCTGGATTCCTCTGACGCGGAATCAGACTGCTCTTGCCCCCTCCTGCGGGCTTTGGGACCTGGCCCCTCCTCCGGGCTCCCTGTACTTCCGCGCGCCTCTACATTTGAACTTGGCGCGCGCGCCCAGCCTCTAACCTTCCTTTCAACAGCTACACTACTCCCTTCACTGCTCCCCTCCCCTTCCGGGAGGATGGCTTGCTCCGACCTCCCTCCTTTCTCTGCTGCCGGAGCCGCTTCCACTGACACACTGAAACCTCCACCCCCTTCGCTGCACTCTGGCGGGGAGGCTGGTCCTGACACCCAGCTGCCACTTTGGGATGCCCAGCTGGCCCCCTGCTCCTGACACGTCCCCCCTGGGGCTCCCCTGGGCTTGACCACCGGCGCCCCCTTCTGGGAATCCTCTGATTCGCTGGAAAGACTCATGGAATCTCTTGAGTCATTGTCATCCTCTTCCTCGCTGTCCTGGGATTCATCCCCATCGCTCTCCATCTCCTGCCTACCCTGTGCCTCTGTCCCTGAACCCCTGACAATTAGGGTAAGTGTTCGGGATGAGGCTAGGGTTAGGGTTAGGGTTAGGGTTAGGGGTATGGGTAGGGGTAGGGGTAGGGGTAGGGGTAGGGTTAAGGTTAAGGTTAAGGTTAGGGTTAGGGTTAGGGTTAGGGTTACATTAGGGTTAGGGTTACGGTTAGGGCTATGGTTATGGTTAGGGTTACGTTTAGGATTAGGGTAAGTGTTCAGGATGAGGTTAGGGTTAAGGTTTAGGGTTGGGGTTAGAGTTAGAGTTCGATTTTGGTTTGGGATTGGGTTTTGGTTAGCATTAGGGGTAGGGGTAGGGTTAGGGTTAGGGTTAGGGTTGAGCTTCGGGTTAGGGTTAGGGTCAGGTTTGAGGTTGAGGTTAGGGCTAGGGTTAGGGTTAGGGTTAGGGTCAGGTTTGAGGTTGAGGTTAGGGCTAGGTTTAGGGTTAGGATTGAGGTTAGGGTTTGGGATCGGGTTTTGGTTAGCATTAGGGGTAGGGGTAGGTGTAGGAGTAGAGTAAGGGTTAGCGTTGAGGCTAGTGTTAGGATTAGGATTAGTGTTAGGGTTAGGGTTGAGCGGGTAAGGGTTAGGGTTAGGGTCAGGTTGGTTTTTGGGGGGGGGTTACTTAAAGATGTTTTTTTTTAAATGATATTTATTAAGGATTCAAAGGAAAAGAATTACATAATTAAAAAGAAAAGACAAAAAAATACAAAATACAGAAAAAAGATAAAAAACATTTAAAAAGAAAACACATCAATCTTTCTATGTCATATATTCATATCCTTGCTTCCCTGACCTCCTCACACCTCCCTTTTTTGTATTCCAATTCAGTTAGTTAATTCAGCAATTTCTTTCCCTCTTTGTTTTTATCTTAGTCCTTTAACTTAATATATTATCACTTTGAGTTCTCACCTGTTAATAATCCATTTTTCATACACCTTTATAACATTGCTGCTTAAAACACTTAACTTCATTCTGACATCATTCTAACATTCATTAATTATGCAATATTTCTGTAAATAGTCTCTAAATTTCTTCCAATCTTCTTCCACCGACTCTTCTCCCTGGTCTCGGATTCTGCCAGTCATTTCCGCCAATTCCATGTAGTCCATCACCTTCATCTGCCATTCTTCCAGGGTGGGTAGATCTTGCGTCTTCCAATACTTTGCAATAAGTATTCTTGCTGCTGTTGTGGCATACATAAAGAAAGTTCTGTCCTTCTTTAGCACCATTTGGCCGACCATGCCCAGGAGAAAGGCCTCTGGTTTCTTCAAGAAGGTATATTTAAATACCCTTTTCATTTCATTATAAATCATCTCCCAGAAAGCCTTAATCCTTTGGCACGTCCACCAAAGGTGAAAGAATGTACCTTCAGTTTCCTTACATTTCCAACACTTATTATTGGGCAAATGATAGATTTTTGCAAGCTTGACTGGTGTCATGTACCACCTGTATATCATTTTCATAATATTCTCTCTTAAGGCATTGCATGCCGTAAACTTCATACCTGTGGTCCATAACTGTTCCCAGTCAGCCATCATTATGTTATGTCCAACATCTTGTGCCCATTTAATCATAGCAGATTTCACCGTTTCATCCTGTGTATTCCATTTCAACAGCAAGTTATACATCTTTGACAAAATCTTAGTTTTGGGTTCTAGCAGTTCTGTTTCAAATTTTGATTTTTCCACCTGGAAGCCAATTTTCTTGTCCAAATTATATGCCTCCATTATCTGATAAAAATGAAGCCAGTCTCGCACTTTGTTTTTTAATTTCTCAAAACTCTGCGATTTCAGTCTATCTCCCTCTTGTTCCAAAATTTCCCAATATTTCGGCCATCTGACCTCCATACTGAGCTTTTTCTGAGCTTTCACTTCCATCGGTGACAGCCACCTTGGGGTTTTGCTTTCCAGTAAGTCCTTATATCTTAGGGTTAGGGTTTGGGATTGGGTTAGGGTCAGGTTTGAGGTTGAGGTTAGGGCTAGTGTCAAGGCTGCCTCAGGTCTCAGCTCACAAAAGACCAACGCCAAGTTCTTCTTATATACAAAAGTGTTTATTGCAGTTCATTGTTTGCTTCACATCCGAGGCGCGCAGCCCCACGTCTGTTACGCTTAGACCGTTGAAGTCCCCTCTGAGTCAGTCCCTCCCTGCACCAGTTTAAGAGGCTTGCTCTGCTCCACCTCTTTCTCTCTTTCCTTTTCCTCAGGGTCTTCCTGCCCGCTGGGGTTTCGCCCCTCCTGGATTCCCCTGACGCGGAATCCCCAGATTGCTCTTGCCCCCTCCTGCGGGCTTTGGGACCTGGCCCCTCCTCCGGGCTCCCTGTACTTCCGCGCGCCTCTACATTTGAACTTGGCGCGCGCGCCCAACCTCTAACCTTCCTTTTGACAGCTACACTACTCCCTTCACTACTCCCCTCCCCTTCCGGGAGGGTGGCTTGCTCCGACCTCCCTCCCTTCTCTGCTGCCGGAGCTGCTTCCCCTGATACACTGGAACCTCCACCCCCTTCGCTGCACTCTGGCGGGGAGGCTGGTCCTGACGCCCAGCTGCCACTTTGGGATCCCCCGCTGGCCCCCTGCTCCTGACACGTTCCCCCTGGGGCTCCCCTGGCCTTGACCACCGGCGCCCCCTTCTGGGAATCCTCTGATTCGCTGGAAAGACTCATGGAATCTCTTGAGTCATTGTCATCCTCTTCCTCGCTGTCTTGGGATTCATCCCCATCGCTCTCCATCTCCTGCCTACCCTGTGCCTCTGTCCCTGAACCCCTGACAGCTAGGTTTAGGGTTAGGATTGAGGTTAGAGTTTGTGTTAGGGTTTGGGATTGGGTTTTGGTTAGCATTAGGGGTAGGGTTAGGGTTGAGCTTCGGGTTAGGGTTAGGGTTAGGGTCAGGTTTGAGGTTGAGGTTAGGGCTAGGTTTAGGGTTAGGATTGAGGTTAGAGTTTGGGTTAGGGTTTGGGTTTTGGTTAACATTAGGGGTAGGGGTAGGTGTAGGAGTAGAGTGAGGGTTAGGGTAAGGGTTAGGGTTGAGGTTAGTATTAGGATTAGGATTAGGGTTAGGGTTGAGCTTCGGGTTAGGGTTAGGGTCAGGTTTGAGGTTGAGGT